CGGACCCCATGGGCAATTGAAGCAACATCAAAAATACACTATTGGGACCTGATCAAACTAAAGAGCTTCTGCACAGCCAAGAACACAGTAAGTAAAGCATGCAGACAGCGCTCAGAGTGGGAGAAAATATTTGCAGCCTATATCTCTGACAAAGGTTTAATAACCAGAATCCATAGAGAACTCAAACATATTAGCAAGATGAGAACACATGATCCCATCTCACTGTGGGCAAGGGACTTAAAGAGAAACTTCTCTGAAGAAGACAGGCACATGGCCTACAGATATATGAAAAAATGCTCACCATCCTTAATCATCTGAGAAATGCAGATTAAAACTACTTTGAGATATCATCTAACACGAGTAAGATTAGCCTATATCACAAAATCCCAAAATCATACATGCTGGTGTGGGTGTCAAGAAAAGGGAACACTTCTACACTGTTGGTGGGATTGCAAACTAATATGTTCCTTTTGGAAAGACATCTGGAGAACACTTAGAGAACTAAAAATAGGCCTGCCATTTGACCCTATAATTCCTCTACTAGATGTATATCCAGAAGACCGAAAAGCACACTACAAGAAAGACATTTGTACCAGAATGTTTATTGCAGCCCAATTCATAATTGCTAGGTCATGGAAGAAGCCCAAGTGCCCATCGACCCACAAATGGAACAATAAATTCTGGTATATATACACCATGGAATACTATGCAGCCCTAAAGAAAGATGGAGACTTACCTCCTTCATGTTTACATGGGTGGAGCTGGAAAATATTCTTAGCAAAGTATCTCAAAAATGGAAGAAAAAGTATCCAATGTACTCAGCCCTACTATGGAACTAATTTATAGCTTTCATATGAAAGCTATAGCCCAATTATAGCCCAAAAATACGGGGGAAGGGGAGAAGGAGGGAAAGAGAGGTGGGAGGATAGGTGGAGGGAGAGTGATTGGTGGGATCATGCCTATGGTTCATCTTATAAGGGTACATGTGAATGTTTCTAAATGAAGAATATAAATGTCTTAACACAATAACTAAGAAAATGACCTGAAGGCTATGTTAACCAGTATGATGAAAACATTTCAAAATGTATATAAAAACAGCACACTGTACCCCATGACAGTATTAATGTACAGAACTATGATTTCATAAAAATAAATAATAAATAAATAAACAAAATAAAGACCATTCATGATCAGAAAGCATCTGAAGAGTCCTTTCCTCTCTCTACATAAAACCTGAGTTACCTGACTGGGAATAAAAAGGGGCTGCTGACTTTCTTATTACGTGCTAATAGGTCTGGCCCCAAGGTCATTTGAAACACAGTACTAGTCTCTCAGGTTAATCTACAAATCAATCTGTTTTCAGCCATCTACATATCTCCCCTAGCAACCAATTAAGGTACCTATACTTTCCACATTCTCCCCTTCCCTTCCAAAAGGCATCTATAAAGGTCTCTGACCATCACTGGGACAATCATTCTTGTGGTATCCCTCATGTGAATGGTATTTGAAAATAAACCTTTCTTTTATTAATGTATCATAATTGTAAGTGATAGTATCAGATGTACCTGCCCAAATAGACTTGCCACACCCACCCAGGAAGGGTCAGACTCATGTCGCCTGAAATAAGAAATAGGAATACCACCAATTGCTGCACTCCCTGACCCTTTAAACCCCCTCGGCCTTAACCCATGTGTGGAATTCCTTTCTTGCTTTCACCCCATTTGCATCCAGGTAGAAATAAAGCCCACATGATTTCTACAGAACAGGAATCCGTTTTCCTTTGTTTTGCGCCTTGGAATAATCTTTCTTCCTTGGGTACAAAACCTTTCAGTAAGTTGATCTTTCAGTAAACCAGATCAAGGGGAAAGGGCAGGTTTTGCCCTGATCCCTACAGAATCTTTTCTCAAACCTGGGTCCACCAGCTCACAACCTAACAAAATTGATGAACCTTTCACAAATGTGGCCCTAAACCATTCTATTAAAGTTATTTCACTTTGAATGTCCATCATTGGTAGTAACTTCTTGTCATTACCTGGAGTTTAATAAAAGTATAAGTCCTTACTATATAGAGGCACTGGGCCAGATTCCAAGAGCTTTCAAGGTAGGCCATTCACTGATGCTTCATTTCAGAGGACATTGTGCCAGCAGATTTGAGAGACCATGGGAGCTGGGGAGGAGTCCATGAACTTCCTCAGAATCAACTGAGTGTCTGTGTGTTATGCTTACTCTCAGCTCTCTAGGATATTTATTTATTCATTTTATTATATTTATAGCAAATTCATTTTGAGAAGACCAGACTGACCCCCATCTTGCACTCCCCCATCCCACCCCCACTTTATCATGACCTGTCCCTGAGTGTGTAGGTCTTGCAGAAATGGGTTGTTAAACAAAGGTTGTTAAATAGACATCCCCTGTGGAGACAGGGCAGATTAGCATGGGGTTGCAGACCCTTGTAAAACCACACCTGGCTCCCCTTGTAATTGCTCACCCCTTTTCCTCATAGACCGAACCTTGCCTCTCACTTCTGTAAACTGCTTTGCGTTAGGAATTCCAAGCCCCTCCCCAACTGAAAGAAGAGTATTGGAAAAAACCTTCCTCTATGATGCCTTGCCAAAAATTTCGGATATGAATCCATCTCGGTCAGCTAGCCAATAAAGGATCCCAGCCTCATATGAACTCAGTGTGTTGGCATTTAATTCCACTCACGTTGGGTACAACAAGATGTCCCACCTTTTGGGGTCAAACCAATATATGTTTTCCACATATTGATTTGTGACCTCACCTATAATCCCTGTTTCCCTAAAATGTGTAAAAGCAAACTGTAACCCCACCACCCTGAGCCCACGTGCTCAAGGCTTCTTAGAAGAAGAAGAATAAACCTCCTTAAATTATTTTACTAAGTATGGCTTCTTTTCCATCAACAATTATAAAGAGCTTTCCATAATACACAGTGTATATTTATTTTTAATAGTTCCCTTAATAAAAATGAATAGGTAACAAATACAAAACGTAAGAACAGAGAACCTTGCTAAGACCACGTGTTGGGTGGCCTGGTGGTGAGATGAGAATTGAGGAGTGAGGGTCTCCTCCACATGCCTGGACAGGTGGGAGTGAAGGGAATGAGTGTTCATGTCCTGTGATGTGGAAGAAACTGGGCCACCTGGAAATTCACTAGACCAGATGAAACTGAGTCCTTCAAAGTCAGTGCATGTTGGGGACGTCTGCATCTTCTACATGTGCGGTTTATCTCTGCAAGATGTATGTCACAAACAAACACTGGTGGGCAGGAGAACGTAAATCTTTCTGTCTTTGGATGGGTCCACAGAACTTTCCCTGGGGCTAGTCCATGCCTGAGGCCCTAGTGGCCTTTTTGGCATTCAGGAAGTTCTTTTTCTTTTTCCTGGGAGGAATGAGCAATGAGATCTCTGGATCCTTCAGATTTTTGAATATAAAGAGCTTTTCGCCTGTATTCAAAACATCAATCGTTTCTGCCCCGACAATGGACACAGGGGCCAGCTCGCCAATGGGCTCCAGTGACAGGTGTGGCCAACTTCCTTTTCCACAGAATATCATCCTCTCTCTGAGAGGGAGACACGTCTTCTGTAAAATGCTAAAGAAAGAAGATCAAATTCAACGTTTTTGGCAACAGACCCTCCTGAGTATTCTACTAGTTTTTTAAAGAGAATCTCCATTTGAGTCCAGAAGCCCATAACCAAATGCCATTTTAAAGAGAGATTATTGTCTGTTTGGTCACTGGTAGCTGTGAAATGAGCTGAGACTGCGGCAGCAGTGTGCTGCAATCAATACTTACTGGCTCATGGCTGCTAAAATTTCAGTAATTTTGCAAGCCCATCATCCTCAGGCTGTTAGCTTTAAATCAGCCATGGTGGGAGTATTTCCACCTTGGAATCTGGCCACGCTACAAATCAGAACTCCCCACCCCTCTCACCCTGAAGATCCTGTTAAACTTTTATGGCTATATCTCTTTGGTCTTACACTAAAAGCAGACTGATGAAATCTGGTTAAAAATTAATAGTTAACAAGTTGGGCAAAATGTGTTTGTCCTATGTATCACGCTTCGGAACCCTCTCATGAAAAGACCGCTGGAATTCTGGCCTTACTCTCCTGAATCCCCGGCTGCTAATTGTAATACTCTGTGACAACCACCAAGAGCCCTCTACAAACTGAGAGCCACAGGGCTCACTCTGCCCAAGTAGCACCAGACAAGACCATGTCACCAGGATCCACCTGTTGGGTATCAATGGCAGGCGTGTGAAGTGACAGATTTGATGTGGCTCCACTGCCATCACCACTAACTGCTGCACTCACAGCTACTGGCCCTGAGCAAGGATTTGAACCAAGCTGTCTTTGATAGTGTCTCCTCTTGCCAGGGAAGGTCCATGGTGCTACCAGGCAGCATGAGACCATCATGTCTTTACATCTGTCCCCACTCCACTTCTACTGGCACAGCCTAGCAGTGCTTCAGGGAGGACACTCTACCATTACATGGCTGAGTTTAGTTTTCTTCCTCTAGGCTTGGATGTGCTTCTCTTGGTCAATATCCTAATCTAATTTCCTTGGGACCATACTGTGCCAATTAAATGGCTCCAAGCCATCACAGGCAACCCGTGAAGCTTAGTCTCAGCACTTTCACCTGAGAACTGCTGGGAGGGGCAGAGCTCAGGTGGACACTTCCTTTGGACAGCCACTGTTTCCAGAGCACATAGTGGACATCAATTTTTAACCACTTATGAATCTATCTCATGTTGCGTCTTTTTCTAAATCTTCTCTATAGGGAATTACAGAGGACACTTGTTCCATGGTTTGCAGCAACCCGATACCACTATGCCCCTGACTTCCCTGTTTTCTAAGTGTGCAATAACCACAGCCCAAAGAGAACAGTGGAATCCAAAGAGCACAGTCTAGTAATTTATGGAAATAAGGAGGGTAGTTAGATGATTCCAAATCCCGTGGCTACTATTTACCAGCTGCAGGCTTGAAGCCTGTGCGTCTGACCTCCCTGAACTTCCATTTTATCACCTCCATTTTCCAGAAGGCTCAATACAATGTCCAAAGGCTTTTGTGAACAGTAAAGTCTAATCACCTATGGAGAATTCTTCTCTTTTAATTATAATTACTAAAATAGCCATTAATTCAAACAAACATAGAAATTAAAATGCTAATCAGTGTTCAGAGAATATCCTTCCACTGCCAGCTGCAGGCTTATCTCAGCTTCTAAACTAAGCCCACTGAATAAACACTTGGTAGCCTACAGGGAAGGACCCTCTATTCCCTGCCACCCTCCTCCTCCCAGCCACTCACAGGCAGCTGGGCTCCCTACTCCCCAGCCCACTCACCAGTGCCCGTCATTACCTCTCCTTCCTCCTGTGAGCCCAGAGCATCTTTTCTAGTCCTCTGGCCATCAAATCTCCTCGCAGTTTGGTGTCTAAGGCTTGCCACCAGCCCTGGTGTTTCCTGAAGGTAAGAAGGGGGAGTTTATATTTTTAAAAATAGCATCTCTGAGGGATTAGTAATCCTAAAAGCCCTCCAGGGCTCTGACCCTCCAAGTGAATTGGGGTATTCACCATTTGTTCTCTCACTCACTCTCTGCTCCTTCTCAGGCCTTGTCAAGATGCAACCTTTGCCCTCAAAGGGTCCACAGTCCGGGGGATCACAGATGGGTGACAAGTGACATTAGTCAGAGGAAGGTCGCCTACAGTAGACCCACTGGGAGCTCCATAAGAGTTTACGAATACATGACTACAGAAGGTGAAAATAGCACAGTGGAAATCTGGAAGGTGGGCTAAGCTTTAGGCCCACCCTAAGGCCACATGAATGGGTTTAGTCCTAAACTGAAGGACAGGGGCCTTGGAGAGTATTGCCCAAGAGAGCAGGAGGGCACAGGTCACATCAACCAGGGACAGCCCAGAACTGAGAGTCCTGCCTGTCAAGCTCATCCCTCTGACTTGCCATTGGCCCCTGCCCAGCTGGAGGTGGAGATGGGACCTCTTTCATACCCAGTCAGGCCTGCTCTCTATCCTAGGAGTCTAACTCCTGAGCAGAGAAGGGCGGTCCTCCGATGGCAGTGCTCAAGAGTGGATGGTCTGGGCCTTCCCTGGCCCTGCCCTCCTAGGGGCTCGTCTCTGGATTCTGACATGTCCCCAGTACACCCTATTCTTCCTTAGGTCAGTCAGTGTGAGAGGCTTGAAACCCAAGATTCTTTCTTTTTTTTCTTTTTGAGACAGAGTCTCATTTTGTCACCCTCAGTAGAGTACTGTGGCATCATAGCTCACAGCAACCTCAAACTCTTAGACTCCAGTGATTCTCCTGCCTCAGCCTCCCAAGTAGCTGGGACTATAGGTGCCTGCCCCAATGCCCAGTTATTTTTAGAGATGAGGTCTTGCTTTAGCTCAGGCTGGTCTTGAACCTGTGAGCTCAGGCAATCCACCTGCCTCAGCCTCCCAGAGTGCTAGGATTATAGGCATAAGCCACCACACCTGGGTCTCCAAGATTCTTTCCCCCTGCCCCCATTTTTGAGACTCTGTCTCCTAGCTAGAGTGTAGTGGCTTCAGCCTAACTCACAGCAACCTCAGACTCCTGGGCTCAAGTGATCCTTCTGTCTCACCCTCCCAAGTAGCTGGGACTACAGAGGCCCTCCGCACCACCTAGCTAATTTTTCTATTTTTAGTAGAAACAGGGTCTTGCTGTTGCTCAGGCTGGTCTCGAACTCCTGAGCTCAAAGCAGTTCTCCTGTCTCAGCCTCCCAGAGTGCTGGGATTATAGGCATGAGCCACTGCGACTGGCCAAACCCCAAGATTATTAACTGATGTAGTGACTAGTGCCCTCGGAAACTAGGGTAAGGGGCTTGGGATTCCAGGAGTCATCAGTCTGCTTGGCATGAGGCCAGGCAAACAAAGAGCACATGTGTGCCCATGGTGACAGCCACCTGAGTCGCCTTGCCTTGTCCCAGCTTAGCCTGCCCACCCCTCAAACTAAACTAACAGTGCGGCCCCCCAAGGACCTCAAGGGCGACTCTCAGGCAGAGGTGGAGTCTCTATGACTATGCATGTTCCTACGCCAGGGACACTTCGAATACTTTCCATCTGCATGTCCTTGAAGCATGTGGTGCACAGGAAAAACCTGACTATGAAATGCAGCCCTCTGACCACACACAGCCTCTGCCCACCCACTTCCCACCCTCTGACTGTGCTGGCCTTCCCACCCACAGCTGCTGTTCTCTCACTCCAGCCCTCCTTCTTCTTGATTTTCAAATAAAGAGCCCCCTCTATGACTCTTAAGAAAAAGGCATTGCCCCTTTATTCAGGACTGATAATGTCCATGCACCCCTGTCCACATAGTCAGGTCATTCCACAAGGCTCCCTGCTCCCATACACCCATCCTGGCCTCCTTTGGGTCCTGACTGGGGTCCTGGGGTCCTGGCTGGGGTCCCTGGCTCCAGTGCCCCTGCCAGCTGCTCAGTGGTCTCAGTCTGGCCACAGCTCCTTGCTCCTCTCCAAGCTCCTCCATTCACAAGCAGCATGGCCACTGCTCCCCAAACCCACCTCCCCCTACACTCAGCTTCCTGCCTTTCCTTATAAAGGGCCTTTACCAACCCAATTCACTCCTCAACACCACCCTAAAGGAAAACACCTTTGCAGAGTTATCCAAAATTGAGGAAAACACCTAGTAACAGGGTCACAGTTACATGCACCCTATTACACCCTTCTGTGCAATATTAGGAGCTGTTAATACCTATGAAGAGTTTCAACAGAGAAAAGCATGAATTTTAAATTAGTAAAAAGAGCAGGGAACAAAGTCTAACTAATGGGATAGAATTATATAAGATGTCTGTCTGCACCAGGACGAGAGTGGAAAGGTACTGAACAAACTTGCTACCACTACAAGGTCCTGAAAAGCAGGCAGTGAGGCTGTACACACTCATACACTCACACACATATTTACACACCAACAGATGCATATGGGTACACACCCCCTTTGCAGACCCACATAGCACCACACCCACAACACACACACACAGACTCGGCAGAAAACACATTCTGGAGGGAAAAATGTAAGAATATGGTAACATTTCTTTTCCAGGTAGCAGAACTATGGATATTTCTTTTTTCCTTTTATGCATTTTTTACATTTTCTTTAATAGACATGCATGACATATTTATGGTCCCAGGGAAACTTATTTTCTTAAGATTCTACTTGAAAAATAAATTGGTGATGAAGTTAGAAAGTATGGACAAAAATTTGGTCCTCTTGTGACTTTGAGAGTTCACAGTGACCCTTCTGAACAGGTCCCTGGCACCAGGAAGGGACATGCATCTGCTCCCTCTCTCATGGGCTTCCCAGGGCTAGTCCCCGCCCTGCAGAGGCTGCCCCTCCATGCTCTCACCTCCTTCTGCCCCTGTCAGCCGGCTCCGAGCTGCCCTCATTCTCCACAGCATGGTCTGAATGCTTCTCGCCCATTGAGTCCAGCAGGGCCAGCAGCTGGGCCTGAGAGGCCGTGGGCAGCAACACACTCAGCAGCCGGCGTAGCGTGGCTGCGGGGACCATGGTCATCCTCGAGAGGTAAGATGCCAGTCTCAGCTCCTACAGGGAACAGAGGTGAGAGCTCACACCCTCACTGTACTTATGACCAACAACTTGTAATTTGTTACAGTCTTGGGACATTCTGTCCTGCACTGATAATTATTTTAGTAGCTCAGTCTAGAAACCATGCTCCTGAACTTGCAGAGCTGTCCACAAACCCTATTTGGTCAGCATCCCTGACTCCCCGTGATATTTCTAAGGGCTTCATCCATCCCTTGCAGTCACAGGGGCAGTGCCCAAAGTGAGCCCAGTGCTGCAGCAGGGTCACATGCAGTGTGACCTTTCTCCTCCTCCCCACTGTCTGTGAGGCCAGGCAGCTTTCGGGGAACAGTGCAGGCTTCAGAAACAACCAAGGTGTCCCTAAATTCAGGGGCCATTAAAGATAGCTTGCTGCATCCACACCAAGAAAAACCCCTCTGTCATCAAAGACAAGGACAGGATGGAAAGACAAGGACAGGATGGACTTAAGGGGCATGAGGTAAGTGAAGCATTCGCTCTCTGAAGCCCGTGCAGTGCGGGAGTCCACACACTGGACAATCCAGACGTGACAGAACTCAAAACCAGAGAGCAGAGCAGTGGGTGCTGAGCTGGGGGTGGGTGCGCAGAGCGGGCAGCACAAGGGCATTATGGGGGCCACCTGGCTCTGCGTCTTGATAGTGGCGCTGCTGCTGGTTACGAAAATGTACCTGGGGTAAAGTGACATAGAACCAGGCTCACATTTCACACTGACCTCAGCATCCTGGCGATGCTACACAACAGCAACCTGTGAGGGAAACTGAAACAGGAGGTGGGGACTCTCTATCCCACCTTTGCAATTTCCTGTGAACCTGAGCAGATTTCAAAATAAAAAGTATTTTAAAAAATGCACATCCCAATAGTGTTGCTGGTGGGAATGCAACCTAATACACTCCTTTTGGAAAGATGTCTGGAGAACACTTAGAGAACTAAAAACAGACTTGCCATTTGATCCTGCAATTCCTTTATTAGGTATATATCCAGAAGACCAAAAATCACATTACAATAGAGATATTTGTATCAGAATGTTTATCGCAGCCCAATTCATAATTGCTAGGTTATGGAAGAAGCCCAAGTGCCCATCGATCCATGAATGGATCAATAAATTGTGGTACATGTACACCATGGAATACTATGCAGCCCTAAAGAAAGATGGAGACTTTACTTCCTTCATGTTTACATGGATGGAACTGGAAAATGTTCTTCTTAGCAAAGTATCTCAAGAATGGAAGAAAAGGTATCCAATATACTCAACCCTAGTATGAAACTAATTTATAGCTTTCATATGAAAGCTATAACCTAATTATAGCCCAAGAATATGGGGAGGGGGAGGGGAGGAGAGGGGAGTGAATGGGTGGATGGAGGGTGATTGGAAGGATCACCTCTATGGTTTATCTTACAAGGGTACAAGTGAATCTTTCCAAAAGTAGAATATAAACGTCTTAACACAATAACTAAGAAAATGACATGAAGGCTAAGTTAACCAGTTTGATGAAAATATTTCAAATTGTATATGAAAACACCACACTGTACCCCATGATTGCATTAATGTACACAGCTATGATTTAATAATAAAAAAATGCACATCAAACCATGAATGAATTAACAAATTGTAGTGTATGTCCACCATGGAACACTATGCAGCCATAAAAAAGGATGGAGACTTGACAGTTTTTATGTTTACCTGGATGGAACTGTAACAAATTGTTTTAGTAAAGTATCTCAAGAATGGGAAAAAAGTATTCAATATACTCAATACTATTATAAAACCAATATATCATCACCTACACATTCATATGAATAATAAAATACAACTACAGTCTAGAAAGAAGGAGGGGAGAGAAGAAAAAGCAGAGGGGAGGGAAGGGGGCGGAGGGGAGGAGGAAGGCTATTTGGTGGGAACTCACCTATTATACACAATGCAATGGTACACTGCAAATCTATTAAGAGTATAAATGTCTTACCACAACAAATAAGCGAGGTGATAGTTATGTTAATCATTCTACTTTAAGCATTCCACATTGTATATCAAATCAGCACACTGTATCCCATAATTGTACACAGTTATGTTTTAATAAAAATAAATAACTAAAAAAGCAGACTCTCCCCACTGGGTAGAACTGTGAGTCCTTGGGATGTCTTTACTTCTCTTTGGGCTTCAGTCTCCTCATCTGTCAACTGAGGGTCATAACAATTCCTGTGGCAAAGGGGTTTGTGAGGACAAAATGAGCCAGGGCACAGAAACCTGCTCTGTGCAGAAAAGACACAAATAATGACCAGTTTTCCCAGTAACTGGGGCCTGCATGGCCATGCCCAGGGGCCCTCCCTGGGATTTCATATGGTGAGGATAGAAGAGACAGAGAGAAGCAACCCTGGACTCGGATGTCGAAAGGCCACAAACTCAGGGCTGCCAGCTGCATGCCACCCTCTGTGTAGGCACAAAGAGACAGGAGAGATGGAGAAACAGAAAGGCCCAGAGTCCCTTGGCCATTTGAGCCCCCAAAGCTCAGCCTTGCTCTTCTTGGGGATGGTCAGAGGATCCATATGTCTCCCCACCTTTTAAAATTTTGAGACAAGGTCTCACTCTGACTCCTGGGCTTCAGTGCAGTGGCATTAGCCTTGCTTATGGCAGCCTAAAATTCCTGGGCTCAAGTGATCCTCCTGCCTCAGCCTCCTTGTAGCTGGGACTGCAGGCATGAGCTGCCACATCCAGCTAATTTTCTATTTTTATATTTTTTATTAAATCATAACTATGCACATTAATGCATTGATGGAGTACAATGTGCTGATTTGATATACAGTGTAGAATGCTTACATCTAACTGATTAATATAATCATCACCTCACTTATTTGTTGTGGTTAAGACATTTATACTCTACTCTTAATAGTTTTGAAATGTACCATTGCATTATGCATATTAGGTGAGGTCCCCCCAAATGCCCTCCCACCTCCCCTTCCCTTTCTGGACTATAGTTGTGTTTTATCATGTGTATGAATGTGTAGGTGATGAAATATTGGTTTCACAATAGTATTGAGTACATTGGATACTTTCTCTTCCATTCTTGAGATTCTTTACTAAGAAGAATATGTTCCAGCTCCATCCAGCTAAACATAAAAGATGTAAGGTCTCCATCCTTTTTATGGTTGCATAGAATTCCATGGTATATATGTGTGTGTGTGTATCACAATTCATTAATCCATTCATGGGTCAATGGGCACTTGGTCTCCTTCCATGACTTGGCAATTCTGAATTGGGCTACAATAAACATTCTGGTGAACATTTCGTTGTTGTAAAATG